GGTTTAAGGTCCCTATTTAACTTTTAGTAATGGATTAGGTCCACAATGTGTTCTTTTGTAGCCTAAGGTCCCTCAATATTATTTTAAAGTGTAAAATACCTGTCTTACCCTTGTTTATAATATACGTTGTTTTGAATTTGGCAGCTAAATCTCAATTAATTAACCTTATCATCCCTTTAACGTAGGTTATACCCTTATTATATATAATTTTAACTAACTTACTATTCTTGAAGCCTTAGTATTTATTAATATTTTTTGTCTATATTTTTGTTAATATAGAAATTGTAAAGCATTTATTAAACGGATGTATTAGATATGTCTAAAATGGTTGACAAATGGCTAATTCAATATTTTTACATAAATGAGTAACTATACTAAAAAATGGCTTAAATTTGAAATATCCAAAATTGAACCATTTCAATTGGTGCAGTTCAATGCGGTTTGATGGGAAAAACGATTTAGTGTGTTTGGTTTGAGTTTTCTGGATTAAGTTTTTTGAAAATTGAGTTTTTTGGTATTCATATTTTTTTGTTTTTAGTAAATATTTTTAAAATTTCAAACATTTTTTTTTTACTTTTTTAGATGTACCTTACTTAGATGTATCTAAAAAGTAAAAAAAAATGTGAAAAAATATTTTAAAAAATTAAGAAATACATAAAAATATAAAAAATATACTGAATTCTTGTATTTTTTTTTTATATTTTTGGTATTTAGTGAATTTTTAAAAGATTTTTTTTACAATTTTTTTACTTTTAAGGTGTATTTATGTTAGATGTGTCTAAAAAGTAAAAAAATTACATAAAATATTAAAAAAATTCAGTAAAAACAAAAAAACACGAAAAATAAGATAGTAGAATTTTCTGAAAACTGTTTTTAGAAAAATGGAACCAAACATAGCCATTGTACCAGTACTGAAAATAATAAAACCGACATTATTAATTTGATAAAATTTTTATCTAAATACCGACTATATCGAACTGATTACATTCTTAATCCAAACACGGCCTATTTAGAAAGATATATGGTAGAGAATTCAAAAAGGGGATATGGGCTTTGTAAGATTGGGTCGGGCTTTTGTTGTCAAGAATCCGACGCACCTAAACTAAAAATTGATTGATTTTTCTTTTATTTCATTATGATTTGGGAAGCCAAAAGAATTCACTTTTTTTTTTATAATTATTTTGTCTGTAATGAAATATTTTTAAATTTTGGTCAATATTATTTATTTTTTAAAGAAGATCCAAAAAGTAAAAAAAAAAAAATCAAAAAATAAACTTACTAAAGATTAAAAAAAAAAGTTCAAAGAAAGTTGATTTTTTAAGCTCTTTTTAGCTCATTTTTTTCAGTGATTTTTTTTATTATTTTAATTATTATTTGTCAATCCATAGAATCTATAAATGTAGAGTTTTTAAAAATTTTAATAAAAATTCAGTAAAACTTTTATTAAAAATATCCAACAAAAAAGCTAATAAAAAGATAATTCCCAAACTCTACTCATCAACTCAAACAACTGGCTTATTTTATATTGCAGTAACAAGTTTACATTAAATTAAAGAAAAAAGTTTAGGCACAAAAATCAATAAGAGAATTGGACATAATCCTATCACATAAGGTCGGTCTTGTCTTTTTATGTATGTTACACCTATGTGAGAAAATTGCATCCAATTTTGTAATTATTAGTTTACAAATAGAAGAATTGTTAATTAAATTAAATTCAACAGCAAGTAAAATTAAATTAAAGGTGTGCAATTTATCCACTAATCTGTCAACCCATCCTGACCCAACCAAATCTGCTACTCACGGTTTGAGAGAGGTGATGGGTTTGGATTGGATGGACTATAAGATGAAAATACATCCGTTAATTTGTTTGTAGTTTATAATTTTTCAACTCCCTTCTTTTGACCCAACCCACATACTTAGGTAGCATACTAATATAATAGAGCTTACCCACATTATATTCATAACTCAGCTGTCGTTTGAGATGATTTAAATAAGTATATTTTTTAATTTTTTATAAAAAGATATATAGAAAAATAAAGAGATGATATGAGTCAAATAAGTGTACTTATCCACTAAACAAATGCACTTATTTAATTTATGCTAAATAATACCTCAGTACTTATATCCATTTAACCATAGTCATTAACAGTGTTATTTATATATGTTACTTTATTTCATTTATTTATTTATTTATTTAGTAGTTGTGATTTGATATTTGGATAATGATATGGTATACACAAAGGGTTGTGTACCATATGCAAGTTAAGTCATTTGTGGGTTTAATTTAATATTATGAAAGTCATAACTTAAAAAAAAAAAAAAATTATAATCAAACACCATATAAGATATAACAAATAACTCTTGGATCATAACAAAAATAGTATCATAATCAACATCACAATAAGTCATAACTAACAATGTAATATGTCATAATTAAAGATACAAAAATCATAACTAAGAGTGCATATAGTAAAGATGTGTATCATAGAATTTCTCAATTAAATTTTTAGTTTATATATTTAAAACTTGCAAGGTCAACTCGTTAATTCAAAAAAACCTGTTGGTTCAAAACTACCATAAATGTCAATCAATCCATCAGTTTTGAATATAAGTGGGTTGGTTACGGGTTAAAAATTTGTCAATCCACTAAGAATGATTTGATTGAGATTATTTCTCCTAAACCGCCCAACTCAACCCCTACACACCCCTAAATTAAATTCCAAGACACTGGCCTACTTCACAAAAGAGTTGGCAATATTAAATTATAGAAAAGCCCACCATCAAGTCTTCGTGCATGCCAGAAATTGGAGTGTGATCTAATGATCTAATAGTCATACCTTTTGAATCAGGACCGGTCCTGAACTTTTTGAGGTCCAAAGTGAACTTTTAAGTTGAAACCCTTGATATAACCCCCCAAAAAAAAATTGTTAATGAAATAGTAAATATTCACAATTTTTTTTCTTCTAGTATCAACACAAAATTTGTTGAATATAATTTACAAAATTTAAAATTTGATTTTGTTGCTTTATTATTTAGCAAAATTTAATTTACAAAAAATTAAAAGTAAAACAAAATATAAAGCTATAATACCAAAAATAATTTATCCAAATGCAGCAAAGTGATTTCTCATTTCACGACAAAGCACAAAGAGAAGAATTTTGGAATGTTATTACTGATGTTGTTTGCTGATAGTGGGCCCTCTCTTATTGCTTTCAGTTGGTCAGAAGAAGAAAAATTTCGGCCTTTGCTTATGGTTTGGGCCCTTTTGCCTTTAGTTTGGGCCTTTCTTGTCATATTTTAATTTTGTACTATGTACAAGTGCTGCAAATATTTGGGACCCTAATTTTGGGCTATTTTCTGGCGGCCCAAAACAGTTGCTTTGTCTACTTATGCCTACAGTCGGCCATGCTTCGAATGTAGTAAGTAGGAGGTCAAAAGTTTAAACTGATAGAGCAGTGACAAACCCTTCAATTATAATCTATTGTACTAATGCTATTTTTGACACACAAAAAAAGAAAAAGAAAAAAGAGAAAGTCTTCATGGATGCCAATGTGGCTCATGCACAAGTTTGATGGAGTGAGAAGAATACTTCTTTTTAGATTTCTATTTCTGCAAATGTTTATAATTTTTTGAGGACGTGCATTTAACACTTTTGATCATGAAATTTGATCAAAAAATTTGGGTGATCGCAAGTTTTATTAAAGGGTTTGGCTTCTCTCAAGTTGTCATCTCAATTTTAGAAAATATTTGGATTTAGTAAGCCTATTTTTTGACCAATTTTAATAATTTGAATTGTTCACTTTTTAAAACTCATTAAAATGTCTTCTTAACTTTTCAAGACGTTTAATGAACTTTTGATGATTGTAAAAAATTTATTCAAAATTGCCCAAACACTTTCATAAACCCAATGGTTGGGTATTTCTCTAATTATACATGGTTGCTTGTTATTTTATTTTATTTTTTTTTATAAAAAAAAAAGCCCCTCAACTGTCTTTCCAACTAAACTCTAGTGTCTAGAAACATCTAAAATTTTAAATATTATTGAATTTTGAGTTTGAGTAAGAGTAAGTAGAAAGAAAGGAGATGGGGAAAGGAATTAAACTTAAACTTTTCTTTCATCAACAACTCCCTTCTCAAAGGATGTTGCTAAATGTCTTAGTCTTTTTCTTTGGTCCTTCATATTATAATATATATACATATACATATATATATATATTATTTTTCCTTCATTCCTAACTTTCCAAACCTTAACCTTTATCCTACTCCACCACCCATCACCACCAACTTCGGCTACAACCACCAGCTCTATGCGACCCGTCAACCCTTCCCCAACTACCTTGCTTCTTTCCAGCCTTGCACAACCTCTCTTCGCTCTTTTCTAGCCTGTTTACCTTTTGTTGTGATCACTACACTTACATCTCCTTACCCCCTAGCAACTATCATCGCAACCTCTACACTCTTCACAATCTCTTTTTCTCCTGTCTCTCTTTGTTACGATCTCTATTTGTTCCGTTCTTTGTTAGTAGTGTCTAAGTGGTTAAAAGGGATTGGGCTAGTTATGGAAAGGAGTAGGGGAGTTACCAATGGAAGATGGGGGCTAGAGGAGGCTAATCAGAGGTACGGATGAGGGTTACCTAAGGAAGGTTCGGATGATGGTGGATGCTTATAGAAAAAAAGAAAAAGAAAAAGAAAAAGAAAAAGAAAGGAAAGGGAAACTTTTTTGCATGTGCGAGTCAAAAGAAAAAGTGTGACGATACTTAGCAATATCTTTTTAAATTCATAACCCGAATATAGCCGCTTTTCAAATTCATGACCCAAACATAGCTGGTTAAGAGAATCATATTGCCACATTGGGTAAGGGTAGATTTATGATCTTGAAAAAGGAATGACAATGCATTCAATTCAGCCCAAGGATCACATTAAACCCTCAGGCCCAACAAGCTAAGTGGGCCACCAGCCCAATTAACAGACCTAGTTCATCACGCCTTTCCTGTTTCTCATTTTCAAACAATTCTGAACACCTGAGCGCTCTCTCTCTCTCCATGGTGATGGCACTAGAACCCCACGCATCACAGAACCCTGATAAAATTCACACAGACGTCCTCTTAGAAGCAAGACAAGCTTGCTACAAGGTATTCACTCAATTTTCTTCAACAATTTATATATATATACACATATTTGTGTGTACATGTATGCATATGTGAATGTGCATTCTTAAACAAACTTCCAAGGCTTAATAATCTTTGAATGTTCCAAACCCACAAGGCTCGTGATGCATTCTATGCATGTTTGGAGATGGAATCGAACAAGAAACCAACCGAAATCGCTTCAGTTGGACTACTGTACCCTATTGAATGCAAGAAATCTAGGGATCAATTTGTGAAACAATGTCGACCCACTTGGGTAATTTATTTAATTTTGAATTAATATTTGTGGGTTTGCATTTTGTTTCATTGTTATGTTTTGGGTTTTGATTTTTGAGAGTGGTGTGTTGTGAATTTTTGTACAGGTGAAGCATTTTGATAGGCAGTACGCTTCGAAGAAGAGGCTTCAAAGGCTTTTGGATGACAGTGAGTCCAGGAGAGGTCCGTTGTCACTTCCACAGCCTTACACTTTCAAGCCCACTAATTGATTTTTCACATATATAGGTCATCTTGAAAATTTGTTTTTATGGTTGAGAGTGATGAATTTGCAATTGTATAGCGATTACTTTACAGTCAAGGATTTTGGGTTGAATGGGTCTTCTTATAATAGAATTTTCATTGCCTGTCTTACTGAGTAGTTATTATGGTTTCATGTGTACTTGGTGAAAGCAATTGTGGGGTTTTGTTATTGCTGAACTCACCATTATGCAAATATAAGTTTCAAAATTTGAGCAATCATGGTAATGACTTATTTTTGAACTGTTTGGGAAGTGGGATTTTAGCCCAATTTAGGCTAAAATCCACAAAAAGATAAAATAGGTTAAAATAGCTAATAAGACAAACTGTCACATCAAATCCATAATCATTTCATTTTTTTTCTCACAAACATTACATCAAACTATAAAAAAATCTAATCTCCCCAAATACAAAAATTTTAGCCTATTAAAATAGCCTATTAAAATAGTAACTTTCCAAACACCCACTTTGTATTTTGATTGCTCTTACTATTTCAATTCTAAGTGAATGTTTGGAGATATACATTTTCTTGTTGAATGTAACTCACTCAGTTTTGGCGATCAGTTTTTTGTTTTGTTTTTTAAAATTTTTAAAGGAGTAATTGAGTAAATTATGGCCTCATTGGGCTGGGTTGATCCATTTTGGCAGGGGTGTGAAGCTTGGCCCCTGTGGAAGAGGGAATTGAAATCTTTTTGTTGGTTACCCTTGTAGTGTATTGGGTGACTCTTGCTTTGATTCTTCCACAATCTTTGGGTTCTAGCAAAAAGAGTTATTATGTGATTCAGACTGCAGAATCAGGCAATTTACTTATTCCATGGATTTTGTTACTTTTGCATTTATGGTTAGATTCATTTCATGTATTTGGACTTGGTAAAATGTACTTCTAGAATCAACATAATTTTAACCTCGATGGTATTGTGCTTACTTGAATGATCAAGTGTTTTTTTTTATTAGCAACAAAGAAATTTTATTAAAAAATGAGAGAGAGAAAATGCAGAGAGTATAATAGGGAAAAAAGTTCCACGAAGAAAAAAATTTGCATATTACACACTATAGGTCTCCAATATCTACTAATTAAAAACACAGGATCAAGTTGTTTTTTTATTTTTATTTTTTATGTATGTTTTCAGATTTTTGTATAGTTTTAGGTTGATTTGTGTGTCTGTGCATATGCCTTGTGAACAGAAAGGTATATGCATTTTTATGGAAGTGGATTTCCTCCATATGCCTTTTAATATATATATATATATACAAATTATATTAAATTACAAATTTGAGCACATACCAACCCTGTTCTGACCCTTATATGGTTGGGGTATTCAAACCAATAATAACACATTGGGATAGTGAAGGATGTAAGATAGGTGAGTAATAGTATGTTCTCACAAAAATGCAATGAGATGACAACTATATTGAAGAGCTTTGTGATAGTACTTTCTTGCATGAACTGTGGCACTTAAGATTTGATTATTAACAAGTTAACGCATTGGGAAAAGGTAATCAACAAGTGGTGTTATGATGAGGAATGGGAACAATGAAAGGACAAATTTAGAATTTCACAAGGACTACTTTTTGGATGTTTTATAAACTACTTTGAAGTTAAATTGAGTTTTATTTAAATATTTTATAGGTTAGAATGTTTTTAGGTGGATTCTTTTAATTAGGTTTTAGCTATGAAGCACGGGTACAAGTATGGGTACCGATGTTGGTACTGGTAGGTCATTAGCAAATCGGTATGGCCAAACCTTAAAAAAAAAGGATACGATTAAGTAAGGGGTACGTCCATAATTTTATTTTTATCTTTAATAATACTTAGTATTGCATGATATATAACAATTAGAAAATCAAATGCAAAAAGCAGTTAAAACAAGGTACAAAGTTTAATGACAAAATCAGTTTAGATTGAGTCCCTTTGGGGACATTCGATAAGATTGGAAGGATATAGAGAAGATTAGCATGGCTCCTGCGTAAGGATGGCATGCACAAATGGAGAAATCAATTTAGATTGAATCTACAAATCAAAGTTTACTTCCAAAACCAAAAGCAAGGTTGATGTAACTAGTTTAATCAATGCCAATACATAAGAAAACTACAAACCAAAGTATAATTCTAAAAAGAAAACTAAGCATAAATAAATGGAAGTCCTACAAAACTAAGAATCTACACTTCCATCAACTTCATCACTTAATAATATAGCTTCCATTTATGGCTCATCAAGTGAAATATTTGCGAGAGAGATAGATGCTCGGTAATTGCAAAAGAATGACCTTAAAGTATTTCTCAAATTTGTGGTAATTGAATAAATACCCTTTATTTTATGAGTTCTAAACATAGACATAACATATTTATTTTGGTACCCCCTTATATTTAAAAAAAGGATATTTATGCATCAATGTGTCCACAAAAGTGCCCCATACCTACCCATGCTATACTCAAGCCAGACTCAATACCAAACCAAACCAAACCAAATCAAGCCTTAAGTCCCATCAAATGGGGTCGGCTACATGAATCCTTCTTCTCCACGCGGCCCTATCAAAGGCCATTTCGTTAGTCAAATTAAGTAGATCCATATCTCTATTTACAACGTTAGCCAACGTTAATCTAGGCCTACCCTGTCCCCTAACACTCCTCTCTACCGTTACAGTATCACACCTCTTCACTACTGTCTCTGTTGGTCTCTGTTGAATGTGACCAAACCATCTCAATCGATTCTCTCTCAACTTATCTTTTAGCGGTGCTACTCCTACCCATTCCCGAATACACTCATTCTGTCTTGTCTAGTCTTGCCACACATCCACCTTAGCATCCTCATCTCAGCCACACTCATCTTATCTACATGTTGTTTCTTGGTTGCCCAACACTCCGTCCCATATAACATTGCTGGTCTAATAGCCATTCTATAGAACTTACCTTTTAGTCTAGTGGGTATTCGTTTATCGTACAATACCCCAGACGCATTTCTCTACTTACACCATCCCGCCTTAATCCTATGGGCCACATTCACATCAATCTTCCCTGCTGTTGTAATAATTGACCCTAAATAACGAAAATGTTGACTCTTAGGCAATTCTTGGCTCTCAATCTTCATTTCTCCTCTGTTTTCATTGTTACTGTTACTAAATTTGCACTCCATGTATTCTGTCTTATTTCTGCTTATCCGGAAACCTTTAGATTCATGAGCTTTTTTTCAAATCTCCAACTTTGTATTAACTCCTCTCTAGTCTCATCCACTAGCACGATATCGTCTGTAAAAAGCATACACCATGGCATGTCATCCTGAATTTTTCTCGTCAACTCATCCATAACTAAAACAAAAAGATAAGGGTTTAAGGTAGATCCTTGGTGTAACCCAACAGTGATAGGAAATTCATTTGTCTCTCTGGCAGGCGATCTTATAGTGGTCACCACCCCTTCATACATGTCCCTAATCATATTAATGTAACATTTTGTCATCTCTTTCTTCTCTAACACCCACCATATTATATCTCGGGACACTCTGTCATATGCTTTCTCAAGGTTGATAAACACTATATGAATGTCTCTTGTCTTTTCTCTATACTTTTCTATTACTCTCCTCAAAAGATAAATCGTTTCCATTGTTGACCTGCCGGGCATAAACCCAAATTGATTCTCTGACACCTCTGTTATATCTCGTAATCGGCGTTCAATCACCCTCTTCCACACTTTCATTATATGGCACATTAGCTTGATTCCTCTATAGTTACAATTCTGGACATCTCCTTTATTCTTATATATTGGCACTAAAATACTCTTCCTCCACTCATCTGGCATGTTTCTAGTCAATAAAATTTTGCTAAACAACCTAGTCAACCAAGCAACCCCTTTTTTACCCAAGCACTTCCAAGCTTCAATAGGGATATCATCGGGTCCTAAAGTCTTATTTGATTTCATCTTCTTAAGTGCAATCTCCACTTCAAAATTCCTAATCTTACGATAAAACCTATAGTCTTGGTTTATCGTATTACTAGCCATTTCTTCCTCTATTTCCGTACCTCCATATTCCTCATTTAATAGTTTCTCAAAATAGTTCTTTCATCTTTCCTTAATCTCTTCATCCTTCACTAATACCTTAGAATCCTCACTCTTGATGTACTTAACTTGATTAAAATCTCTTGTTTTCCTCTCTCGTATCTTAGCAAAGTTGTATAGCCTCTTCTCTCCTTTTTTACTATCTAGTCTAGTGTATAGGTCATTATAAGCTTTTAACTTGGCCTCTTTCACTACTTTTTTGACCTCCTTATTAGTCAATCTATAGCTCGTAAGGTTTCCTTAGTTTTATCCTTCTGTCACTTTTTAAAACACTCTTTCTTTGCCTTAACTACCGCTTGAACCTCTTCCCTCCACCACCAAGTTTCCCTAGCGCTGGGTCCCGTCCCTTTCGACTCTCCAAGCACTTCTCTTGAGATTCTCCTCATACAATTGGCCATCGAGTTCCATATAGCGTTAGTATCATCTTCCAAGTCTCAAGTACCTTCCTTATTCATTCTATTCTTAAATATTTCTAGTTTATCCCCTTTTAGGTCCCGCCATCTCGTCCTACGACGCCCACCATCTTTCCTAGCTCGGTATTGCCCTCTAAAACATAAATCTAGTACCAAAATTCTATGTTGAGAGGTCAGGCTCTCTCCAGAAATCACCTTACAATCATTGCATTTTAGGCGGTCCACTTTTTTCACTAAGAAGTAATCTATTTGGCTCTTAACTGACCCACTCTTAAAAGTTATCAAATGCTCCTCCCTCTTCTTATATATAGTATTGGCTACCACCAGGTCAGAAGCCAACGCAAAATCTAAGATACTCTCTCCAGTCTCATTTTTGCCACCAAAACTGTATCCACCATGCACCCTTTCATAGCCTAGTTTATCTATGCAGCCTACACGGCCATTAAAATCTCCACATATAACCAGGTCCTCTCCTACGGGCATCTCCTGTAAGATCTCATCCATTTGCTCCAAAAAAACCCTCTTAGTCTGATCATCTAATCCTACTTGAAGGGCGTATGCACTAATAACGTTCACTATATTCCCTCCAATAACTAGTTTAACTAACATAATCCTATCCCTTTTCCTAATGACTGTCACTACATTCTCCACCAGACCCTTTCCTGCATCTGTTCTTACCACTATAATACAGTTTAAAACCGGTATCTTCAATTTCCCTAACTTTCTCACCCGTCCACTTAGTTTCTTGTACGTAAGCTATACTAACTCTCCTCCTAATCAGAACATTTACTAATTCCATCGTCTTACCAGTCAAGCCAGACCCAATATTCAAAAAATTAATAAAATAAACCAAATGTCTTTCACATAACGAGTACACATGCTGTTGTACCGGTACACCTACCCATATTGGATAAGTACCCGGTACTTATATGATAAGAATTTTTGGAGTATCATGCTTTATAGGGTTTTAGCAGGTAGGGCTATTTTGTTAACTATACAAATTGCTAAACATAGCTATTGGGAGTTGCTGACTGTGTTACATGGACTCGCCACTTTGGGGCGAAGTACCCGTGTCGACACGACACGACACGGGTGCGGGTGTGAGATCTGTGTCGGATTCGCCTGTTCTCATTCGGACACGGCTCTTCACAGACACAGACAGCAAAAGAAATTATACAAATTGCTAAACATAGCTATTGGGAGTTGCTGATGAATTGTATTACGTGTTAAATATTATTTGGGTCTCATATGAAGACTATATTTAGAAAATTTTAGTTCAAATTATTTTAGTTTCCTGATGTTGGAGTCATAGTGAGGGAAAATGTGGAGGCTTAATATTCAACTCGCTCACAATAACTTTCCACCATATGGAGACTTAAATGATAATTTTATTAATAAATGTCAATTAGTATTTAATATTTAATTTCTTATTATTACCGTATTATTACCTCAGTCTCAAATTGTTTGTCTGGCATAGAAAATGAGAACTTAAAAATAATATATTCTTGTGCCAAAATTTTCAATTTTTTTTTTTTTTGCCCCACAATATAAAAGTACTTACAAAATCTTTTAGTTGGTGGTTTTTTTTTTAAAACATCACTATGCGAATATATTATTATTTTTAAGTTCTCGTTTTTTGTGTTTTTAGTATCTTATTTTTAGTTTGCGATTGAAAAATAACATTAGTTTAGGGTCAGGGATTATGGGATGTTGGGTAATCTTAAAATTAAGTTTTCATTGCCTTCCTTACTGTGTAGTTATTATGGGTTCATCTGTAAAAAAATGAAAGAAATTGTGGGTTTTTTATTGATGAACTCATCACTTTACAAATATAAGTTCTGAATTTGAACAGTTGTGATAGATACTTATTTTGTATTTTGGTTACTCTTTAATTCCAAATGTTTGTTTAGATATACATTTTTCTTCTTGAATGTTGCTCACTGGGTTCTTGGGGGGTTGAACATTTTATTTTTGTGGGAGTAGTACCTTAGTAAACTGTGGCCTCATTGGGCTGGGTTGATTCATTTTGGCAGGGGTGTGAAGCTTGGCCCTTGTGGAAGAGAGAAGTGAAATCTTTTTTTTGGTTATCCTCATAACCTATTGGGTGGTTCTTGCTTTGAATCTTATACAATCTTTGGGTGAGAGAAAATAGTTCTTATCTGATTTGGTCTGTGGCATCAGACAATTTACTTAATCAATGGAGTCTGTTACTTTTGGCATTTCTGGTTCGATTTATTTCATAGTATTTGGTCTCAATAAAATATACTTATGGAATGAACATGTACTTATCCTTGATGGTGTTGTGCTTGCTTGAATGATCAAGTGGTAGTTTTGCTATGTGTGTTATGAGTTTCTTCTATAATTTTAAATCGATTGTGGATGTGTGTCATGGATTTCTATAGAAATGGATTTCCTCTAATACTATTTAATGTTCTTTTTATTTTTACAAACTAATATTCGGTTGGGAACTTGAGCAAGTACCACCTCAGCTGTCAACTTTTTACCCTTAATTTTTTCGTTGTTAGTTAGGGTATTCAACCCAATAACTTATTCGAAGATTGAAGTAAGTAAGATGAGTGATGATATCTTTCACAAAAGGGCAAAGAGATGACAACAATATTGAAGAACTATATGATACTAGAAGTACTCTCCAATGTAGCTTTCTTTTGTGGACCATGGCACTTAAGATTTGATTACCAATAAGTTAGCTCTCATAGTGAAAAGGTACTTCACAAGTGGTGTTATGATGACGAGTGGGAAGAATAAACCAACTATTAGAATCCTAAATAGCTTCTATTTAGGTATCCTCTAAAACAGTAACATGTTGATTCTCAATCAACCCTAACACCCTTCCTTACATTGTGACCTTCTTTTCAACCATTAAAACCCTAAATAGCCACTACATAGGCCAATTTAGTCCTTTTAGTTGTGCCAATTTTGAAAACCTATCAAGCTTCTATTTTTGAAACCACACTAATTAGATTTTATTTTAATTTTTATTTGCAAGTCCTAGAACATATCTTTTATCTTTCAGCTTTTAGAATCTCAATCCTAACAACTTTTCATAGCCAAAAACCCACCACAGAATTCAATTGTAGGCTGTATTAAGCCTAGTTTCTTAATCTTCCCTACATCATGTTACTTACATAAAAGAGGTGGTGCAGTATAATTAAGATTATGGAATTTTTTTCATGCAAATTGCAAAGGATTATATCTATTGGGTCTCAAAGAAAAGAAAACTAAACAGTGTGTTTGGTTTGAGTGTTTTGGATTAAGTTTTTTGAAAATTGAGTTTTTTGATTTTCGTGTTTTTTTTTGTTTTTAGTGAATATTTTTAAAGTTTTAAACATTTTTTTTTTACTTTTTTAGATGCACTTTACTTAGATATATCTAAAAAGTAAAAAGGTTGTGAAAAAATATTTTAAAAAATTAATAAATACATAAAAATACAGAAAATGTACTGAATTCTTGTTTTTTTTGTTTTTTGTTTTGTTTTGTTTTTTTTTTTTGGTATTTAGTGAATTTTTAAAAGGTTTTTTTTTTTTTTTTTTTCCACAATTTTTTTACTTTTTAGGTATATTTATGTTAGGTATGTCTAAAAAGTAAAAAAAAATTACTTAAAATATTAAAAAAATTCAATAAAAACAAAAAAACACGGGAAACAAGAAAGTAGAATTTTCTGAGAAGTGTTTTTGGAAAAATGGAACCAAGCAAAGTAAAAACAATTTGATCTGTTTTTGTAGTTCAAGATTTGTCTTTTATATATTATTTGAAATGTATGAAAAGAAAACTTTAGTTTTGGTTCTTAATTTATTCTTAATATGTAATGGTTGTTGTGATTCTTAGTTTCCTAGTCTCAAAGTGGCTTAAGGTAAACCTCACAAAGGCTCTGTTTGGTAGAGCTGTGGGAAAGTGCTTATAGCTTATGCCTTAACAGTTTATAGCTTATAACTATGAACATAAACTGATTTCTGACTTATAAATTAAGCATCTCCTGCCCCACTCAAAGAATAAGCTGATTTCTGATTTACAAAAAGTTATAAGCTGCATTGTTAAGTTAAATCAAACACATCAAAATAGCTTAAATTAAGCTGAAAGCTGAAATAAACAGCTTTTAAGCTGCACCAAACAAGCACAAAGTGGCTTCTTGTAGATTTTTTCATCCTCAAGTACTTCACTAGCTCTTATCAGGTATCCTATTTCTATGGTGGCATACACTTTTTTGTGGGGATGGCTTTTAGAAAATGAAAACTTAAATTTGGTTTTGGGCCCATTGGTTTTGTAATTTGGGACTTCCTTTTTCTTGGAAATCTCATAAGTTTCTCAAGAATCAGATGTTTCAAAATCCTCATTCTTGATATGAGTTTTATAAGGGTTCTACTTTACAGCTATTGATGTCTTTGTTTGGTATGTAAGCAACCAAGTGTTGTCTCAGTATCATGTTCAAAAGAAATTGATTCATCATTTGTGACATCTACCTATGCGGGTTACAAAAGAATAATAGTTGGTACTCACATTTGAATAGCTTACATGATGTTCAAATGTAATCATCTTAACATTACATGTTAATATGTGTGCATACCGCAACCAATGGATGGGTGATACCTAAATAGTAGTATGTCTAAAGCCAAAATATTCCAAGATACGTATTAAAAATCAAAAGAAATAAGCAAACATATTAATTAGTAAAAAAAAAAAAAAAATCAGTTAAAGATACAATTATAATGGTTGTAGAAGACTTGATTCTACTTTTGTTGTTTAGAATTTAGAGGCTTGAGACAACTTTTTTTATGTCATTCTCTTAGTTTATATTTCACCATCTTTTGCAACCTTGTAGAACCAGGAAACACTCACCAGTTGCAATCCTAGTACCTATCATGACTTTGCACTTTCTTTTCAATTTGTGGTGTAGCTTGTGTGGTATTATGGTAAACTGCAGGTACCCTTAAGTTGACTATCATAATGTGACAAGTGGGCATGGCCCTAGAGGATTTTTGTTCAGAATACTCTATTTGGTTTTTAACTTTTAAAAAAGAAGCCTGTTTCAGAAAATTGTTGCAATTTTTAGCTATAAAGGCTTGGTTACTAGCTATGGTGCTTAAAGGTATCCGTAACATGGAAAAAGAGAGGAAAGAAATTAAAACACTCAAATTCTAAAAATTGTTGTCCCAAAAACATACCTCTATTCTTGCTATATATATTGTTAAAATTCAATGTATAAAGAGAAATAGAGAATTGTATTATTGATTGATGTATTGATAATTGTCAATTTATTGAATGTTACAATGATTCCTATATATAGAAGAGTAGGTGGTAGTAGGTGGTAGATGGAGTAGGTAAAGTGGAGGTGGTAGGTGGAGTAGGTGAAGTGGAGGTGGTAGTGGTGTAGGTGAATTTTAACAGCCCCCCGCAAACTCAAGGGGGATAGGAACTAACCAACTTGAGTTTGGAGAGAGTAACAAAACAAGAAAATACATAAAAATAAAAGAGGATAGGAGACACTGTATGGTCGTGTCAGACCATTGGTGAAGACACTGGATGGTGGTGTCATAACGTTGTAGAGGAGGCTTGGTTACTAGCTATGGTGCTTAAAGGTATCCGTAACATGGAAAAAGAGAGGAAAGAAACTAGAACACTCAAATTCTAAAAATTGTTGTCCCAAAAACATACCTATATTCTTGCTATATATATATATATCTGAGAGAACAAGAAGAAAAAGAAACCTATATTCTTAATTGGAACACACAAAGTTAACTTACTTTGCCCCAAGTATCGTACATTTGAAAATAAATCGGTGGTTAAATAAAACCCATGACTAGGTAATAATTAAAAAAAAAAAAAAAAGGAACAAAAGAACAAAAGAATTCATTAAAATAAAACCATAAATATGAACCAATTTAGTCTTGATCAAAACAATTAGATATCACAAAGCCCTAATTATCTATATTAGAAAAAAGTCACATTCCTTTTTTCCCTTTTTGTGAAGCATAATCAACTAGGCTTGGCTCCCAAAATAGTATCAAGCCTTCATCGTGTCACATTCCTCCAATTGGCGAATAGTCTACCTCAAGCTCTATAGCAATGACGTGCAATGACTTCCTTCCAACCTTCAAACTTGAACTGTTGTGGGAGTTGAAATTTCTAGTCAATAAAATATTGCTTTCTTGATTGGAAGAAATAACAATGACTATAGTAATACGATCAGCTAGGCCTGATTTGGCCACTCTAAGAGCAAAACCTGCATGGGCCCATCAAGCAGCCATGGTACTAGGAGATTGCCGCCGTTCATGGCCATTATGGGGTGAAAAACCTATGTGATTCGTAATAGATTTAATTGCACCAAATCCCAAACAATTAAAACTGACAATCTCAATCATTTAGCACGTACGAAAGAGATTTAGATTGTTGTTTCACAATTAATAAATCAATACAAACGACTATAACGTGGAAAAAAAACTATAGTTGGAGCACCTCTAATTGTGATAAAAAATCACGGGCGAAACGCCACTAATCAATCCATTATGAAGAATGAAAGAATACAAATTTACCAAACAATTTATCTAAACTCTGTAAAATTGTCTTCAACAACTTGTTCCTCTTTCACCAATGCCTTCGTCTTAGAATTGATCAGCTTGATGTCGAATCCACGACCACGAGCATCTTTGAACTCCTTCAAAGACTCATCCTGAAATCCTCGGAATCCACCGACGAATAACTCTTTTGTCAGTTCAAACTTCTGTGAGGCTTGCATCTTCGCTCAAGCGATGCTTTCACCGCTTGAGCGATGAAGTTAAAATCCAAGGAATAAAAACAATGCAATAAGACATGTTTGTTCGCGAAATTGGCAACAAGTAGGGATCTAACAATTTCCCTTTTTGTCAATTCCCGGACAAAACATTATGACAAATTTTCCTATCAAAGACATGCACTAGATCCAAAAACTAACTAAACAAACCACTACAAAACTAGTCTAAATCAACCCAAACTATATAACTAGCCTTGAAGAAACCACTTGCAAAGATAAAACATAATCCAAAGCACTGGAGATATATGACTAATCAAAAGTGTATCAAATCAAAATCCACAATCCAAAACTCATAATTAGAACTATTAACAAAATGAGGATTATCCAAAAGCA